TAATCTTTTTTTATGTTGTCATTTATCCGTAATGTTTTAATGTTAAGTGTGATAACATGCTCTTGATTTGTATTAGATTATTTTTCTTTTAAATAGCTTGAGTTATTTAAAATATTTTATTTTTCCATGTTTATATTTTTATTATCTTAAGTTGTTAAAAACTCCAGATTTTTTAATCATAATATTTATATTTAAGTGTATTGTATTTATAACATTTTATTTTGTCATTAATTATTTTGTATTTTTATCATTTTGTATTGTCTTAAGTTGTCAATTTTATTTTTCTTAAAAGCTGTATGTATGGATTGCCATTTTGTTGTCTATTAGATGTATATATGTTGTCGTTTAATAGCGGTCTAATTGATGACTAGTCTATTCTTGGGCTATGATTAGACGTCTGTTAGATTTTCACTGACAGCCCAAATTTAGCCTTGTTTTAGCCTAGACTTCTAGGCTATATTTAGACGTCTTTTAAACGCAAAATTGCTTGCTGGGTTTCTTCTTACCTAGTCTCTCTATAGCTTCAAGCAGGACCGCATTTGAAGGATTTGAGGCTGGGCGCCGCATTTTTGGCAAAGGGCTTGCTCTGGGAGACTCGGGAAAGCACGTATCCAGTGAGTCCACAACATTAGCAGATTTGGCAAGTATGCATACGTTTAACACTCTCAGACTTCGAGATGCCATCCACCTCCATCATGACGCCACACCGCAATTCTAGAATCCAAACACGTGCTGTAGCATATCCAGTGAATAGTCATTGTCGAAAAGAGGAAAAAGCTTGCAAAAATATATACAAACTCACTAACCGCAGTACAATAAATATGGAGAGCATAAAGTGTATAAAATCAACGCATAAAAACAAAGTAAGTCTTCGGGAAGAAAGAAAAATCAAGTTTTGCACAAAATTCAAGTAAGAGCAAAGAAAACACGACCGACGCCATTTTGAAGACGCCCCGTTATATACGTGTGTTAAATACGCGTGAAATACACGTGAAATACGTGTTAAATAAGCGTGAAGTACGCGTTAAAAATCAGTTTGAAGGGGTCAGTGTCATTGGCTGCTGAGGACTTGGGTCAAACCATTTCTGTGAGCTTAGGGGGGTGTAACATTCATAGACTAGGCAACCACCGTTTAACATGCAATAGATCAGTTTATTCAGCCTAATAATTTTGTCTTTTTTTGTATAGCCTATAGAAATAATATATTTAAATTGCAGTTTTATGAACCACTCACACATTAGTGGACATTCTAGCTTTAACAGTGATCAAACTTAAAGGGTTAGTCCTCCCAAAAATGAAAATTAGCCTGTGTTTTACTCACCCTCAAAGCATCCTAGATGTATATGACATTCTTCCCCAACATGTGTATTTGTGGTGATATCATGAAATAATCAAAAGTTACAGCATTTGGAACCAAGGTAGCCCTTATCTTAGCCCTTTACAGTTTTGAAATTGTTGTTTTGAATTTAAAGTAATGCCTCACTCAAGTTTAGTCAAAACCTCAAATATTATATAATTATACTTGTTTTATTCCACTCGATGAGACCTTTCAAATGACATATGACACATGACTATCTGAGCTGTATGATGTTTCTGACATATTAGAGTACATAAAACAAATTTTTTTTTCTATTTATCCGCAAATAACTCAGCACTATCTAGGAGTTAATCAAAGTTAACCTGCATTGTAAAGGTCAGACTCCAAGCTTTCAAATGACACCTATTTTGTGTTGATTAAGGCAGATATTTTGAAAAATATGCTTATTTTTTTCTTAGCTAGGGGGCAACCATCGGCGGTACACTCCGGTTTAGAGGAACTAGGCAGCACTGGTTAGGAGTTGATCAAAATGGTTGGATGCATTCGAAAGTTGAATTTCTAAGCTTTAAAATAATACCCAATTATTTAAAAAAAAGGTTATATAAAAGATCAAATTGACAGAAACATTACAGGTTTTACATTCTGCACTCAAAAAATTATATGTTGGCCTTACTTAACTTTTTTATGTCAACAGGTTCCACGTAACTGAGTTAGGTTGCATTTAAGTAACTATATTGATTTTAGTGAACTTAAGTTAATTACATAAAGTTAATACAATGTTGTTTAGTTGAATCATCTTAACATTCTTGACTTCGTTTTAATCTATTAAGTTAATGAAGTTCAATTATTCTAAAATTAATATGGTCACATTCAATCAAAACAAATACAGTTTCATTGAGTTTATTCAATAAATACATTCACCATTTTTTTTTACAAATTTTTCCAAGAAGAATAATTTGTACACAATCTAAAGACTGCCTTCACTTTTTTAATCAGTTATCTTATCTTATTACAAGAAAAGTGTAAAAAAGCATACTAATAAAAAATAAAAGTATGGATATTAGGTAGGATTTACAAAATAATCTTCTTTTGTAATGAAAATGCATCAATTATTCAAAGCAACAGCCAATAGTACAACATTATTCGTAAAGGCCTGTAGCATCTGTATGATGACATAGATTCCCAGCGTGGTGTTGCGCATTGAGGTTAGGGCTTCAACATGTTCAACATTCTAAAAAAAGAAACAATTACCAACAGATCAAGGGTCAAAGAAGTTTTGGAGAAACATACACTAGGTTTTAATGAAAAAGGTAAATAACTTACCATGTACTCCTTCACAAGGCTTGAGGGGTCTTCCTTCAGGCAGACAGCCAGGGCTTTCAGGATGCATACACATTTTTTGCCGATGGAAACATTCTGAATATGTAAAATGAACAGCATTAGTTAGCACTTTACTTTTTAGACTTGTTACTGTACATCTAACATTTTCAGTAGTATTATACAGATCATCCCACTGTTGGGGGTGTTGTTTCTACAAAACTCAAATTTTCAGTCCTGGGAACCAGTACAAGAAAACCCAACAAATGTTCCTGTCAGTAATTAACAACGGTCCCTATAGATTCTCTTTGCCACCTG